TGGGTACATTTAGGTCTTCAATCTATCTGGAGCTAGCTGATTGTAGAGTGTCTGGGGGGAATCTAATTTTGTCTTTTCAATCTGGAATGTCACATGTCCCCATACTGTTTGTAAAATATCTCACTTTCTCCTGATTTGAATCTCCCTTCTGTCAGCTACCGAGCATCTGTATGTGCTTGGAACTGTCTCTGGACTCTTAATTCTTTACTATCGATTTATCCCTGCAGCAATAATCACGCCCTCATCTTACAGCTTTAGAATAACTTTTCTTTTCTCAGTAGAAAAATGTCCTCCTCTATGTTCTTTTTCACAATTGTTTTGGTTATTCTCAAATTTAGGATCCATTTGTTGAACGCTATGAAGAAATTCTGTTGCTATTATGATTGGAAATGAAGTTGTATCTATATTTTAATTTGGGAGAAAATTTCCATTTTTGTAATAATCAGGGTTCCTAGCTACAAGAGGGGCATATCTTTCCATTAATTCAGGTTTTAAAAAAACGTTTTTATTGCTATTTAAAAAATTTTCTTCATCAAAGAGTTTCACATCTTTCCTTATATTTATCCCTGGATCCCTTACAGGTGTTGTTACTATTATAAATCGCATATTCTTTGAATTTTTAATAGTTATTATTCATGTATAGGTATATTATTGATTTTATTATGTTGATTTTATATCAAGTAATTTTATGAATCTCCCTTACAAATTCTAAAGGTTAGATTCTCTTGAATTTTCTATACCAATAATTTTATTACGCATAAATAATTTCTCTCTTGCTGTCTCTCTCTGCTTTCTTCTCTTTCAACCCTTCCATCTCTTACTTGCTTTTCCTGACGTTCTGCATGGGGTGGGACCCCTAGTAAAACATTCATTGTTGAGGGTGAGAACAGGCGTCTGTGTCTAATTTCCAGTATAGAAAATGTCTTTACATTTTTCTATATGTATAAAGTTAGCTCTAGGATTTTGACACCTATTCTCTTTTTTTGTCTAGTTTTTAAAAATTTATTTACTTAAAATTTCATTTTATTGTAGAAAAAATAGTTAACATGAAGCTACCCTTTAAACAAACGTTTAAGTGTGCAATATATTATTGTTGACCATGGGTGCAATGTTGTACTCAGATTGCTAGAGCTTCTTCATCTTGCTTAACTAGTCTAGTTTTTTTTTAAAGACTTTAACTTGTTTTATATGTAGTTAAACAATTATATAACAATAACTGATTATATGGATATATTAGTGTTGGTTTCAGGACCACATAGTCTGTTTCATTTATCTTTATGTTAATTCTTGCCATAAAAGTGGAAGGATTTAACGATTACAGTTTTTATAGTATGTTTTAATGTATAGGGAAGTCCTCTCTTTTTTTTCTCTCAGAAATTTTAAAACTAACCTCACCCATTTTTCCTTCTAGCTATTAAAATATTACTGGTTTGTATTTAAACCCGGGTAGCCTGGCTTCTAAGCCGACGTACTTAACTGCTCTGGTAGGAGTATGAGTCGAGACAGGCAGGTTACCCTGCCATAAAGAACACCAGAACTGAAATCTTTAACAAGACAAAAGACCGTTTCTTCCCCACGCAAAGCGTGGGGTAGGTCTGGGTGGCTCTCCAGAGCAGCCGCCTTCCACATGGTGGCTTGGAATTCTGGGCTGTGTCCATTTTCTGCCAACTGGGTATCAACATCTGCTTCTACAATCACTATGGCAGGGAAAAGAGGGAACATACTGGCTTTTAAAAATTTCCGCCTGGAGTGACATGTATCCCTTCTCATATTTCACTGGCTGAAGCAAGTCATATGGCCCAGCCTTGCTTCAAGAGGCAGGGAAATGTCATCTTCTTACGTGCCAGCGTAGAGACGAACCAGATATATTGGTGAAAGCCCCGATGTCACCATGGTGTGTGCTTGCACTCTTGCTCTGCCACTGACTAGCTACGTGACCTTCAACATGTCCCATTGCTTCCAGTTTTAACATTGGAAAATGACAAGATTCATTCACTTATTCAATTGGTACCCATTGTTTGTAGAGAGCATACCAATTGCCAGGCACCATATGATGCTACAAATACAATGGTAAACACAGTAAAATCCCTGCCCTCAGGTAGTTTGTAGTTTAATAGATTATCCTACTCTTGATTTTTAGTTCTAAAATTCCAAGATTTGACTAAAAAGCAATCACAGCAAGAAACCCGCCAGAGCATTATATTCCAGAGCCTCAGGCATTTTTTCAGGAATTTCTTTCTTCTTTGTGTTCCTAAATCCATTTGGCTGCAGTGTTACCTACACACAGCAACAGATGCACACGCATTCCTCCTTTCCAAGTCACTGTGTATTTTCTCACTTGGTGAAAATAAAGCAGCCTTTGGGCCATTCTCACAGCTACTGTGAAGTTAATGGGCAGAACACTTCATAACAGATAGGAGAAAATCAATTTAATTGAGAAAAACTTGGACAGATGACTTTGCCACATAATGTACATTCCAGATATCAAATAATTTTCTATTACTTATGAATGAACCAAATTACAAAACTTTAAAAATTTCAAAAACATTTTGGTTTGCAGTTAATTTTTCCCTGGAGGAATATTTATTGGTATAAAATAGAAGAAATATGAATAAGTATACTTGTAAGCATGCACAAAACTGGTTTGCCAAGTTTTCTTTTTTTGAAATCTCTTAGGACTTGAAGCAGCCTGCCAAGTTTTAATTTACTAGTTGCCTCTAGTTAAAATACAGTTCAATGAAAAATTCATAAGAATCTGAGCATTGTCTTTAAACATAACGCGCCAGCTTAAAATTTGAATGAAATATGCAAAGAATTCCATTCTACTTTGCCTTGAGGCAACGATGGCATTTTCTTTATTCTTAGTACTGCGTGTCTCATTCTCAAACGAAAGCCAAGAAGTACTGACGCAATAGTTGGTCTTTTGTGTCATACAGACCATTCTAAATAACGTTCTGACTAATCCCACCCATTTCTCATCCTTTTACAACCCTTTCAGCACTTAAGCGGTATTGAGATAGTTTCACAATATAACAGTTTTTGATTAATTTTCTACTTGTTTGTACTTTGAATTTATTAACTATTGGTATGTTCCCCTTCTCAACAGTAAAACAAGGACAGAGACCATGATCATATCTCTCAGAACCTCTGGTTTGCCCAGTAACATCTAACAGTTATTACTGGGCTTTCAAAGGCAAAATAAAGAATCATCAGACTCTTTGGGCATGGAAGGGCTTAGAGAAGCCGGTAATATTTACTAAGGAGAGATCAATAACCATCCTCTATTCTCATTATACATATTCTCCCTGAGCAATCCAAGCTACTGCCATGTCATCAAGTGCTACCTTAGGACTCCCAAACCCGTATCTCCAGTCGTGGCATTCTTCCCAGGGTCCGCATTGGCATTTCAACCACCTTCACCACCTGGTTTTCTACACAAAGAACTCAGACTCAAAATACGTAAACCAGAATGCTTTTTCTTCTTCCTCCACACCAGCTTCCCTTGTGGTGTCTTTTTCAGGATAGTGCCATCATCCATTCAGCCACATGATGCCCCTGGGGTCATCCTTGGTTCTTCCCTTTTCCTTATCAGGCACTGCGTCCTACTGATGCTGCTTCTTTAATAGCTCTTGAAGTCATCCTCTTCCTATAACTTCCACTTTTAGTCAGCCCTTCCTTCCGAGCTATTACAGTAAGAGCTGCCCGCGTGGCCTTCCTGTCTGCAGTCGGGGTTCCTCTAACCATTTTCTCCATACCCAGGCCTGTGACCTCTCTCATGCAAAGCTGATCACGTCGGTGCACGTCCACTCTCAGTTTTACCCTATCAAGTGGATGGGTGTAGTTCCACATTCTGGTCCGTGCCCAGCTTGGGACCCTGCTCAGGAGGTCTCCATCAGCTGTGTCCTGAGAACGACGCCCCTGTTTCCACATTCTTAAATTGCTCTGTCTCTCAAAAAGCACTTGCCTGCCTCAACAGGGCTCCTTCTTACCCTGACCGTGCTTCCTCTTTTCCTGCCCACCATATGTTTCATTTTCCTGGTGATTGCAGAGGACAAGGGGATGAGAGAAAGCCTGGAAGGAAAAAATGAAAAGCACCAAAGAACCTAGAGCCCAATTCCCCGAGGCTGTCTCCCTTTCAATCCTGGAGTCCTCCGTCTTCTGTAAAATGTTTTCTATTCCATACCACGCGTGTAGTCTTTGTGTGGCTCTAAGTGGGCTGTATAATGTCAGTCGATGAGCCTAAAGGGCAATGTTGAGAGTTTAGCTAAGTTACTCTATCGTATTGTTGCCTTGGCGTCCATTTTGTTTGGTCAAGCCGCCTGCGGGGGGCCTTAAACGGACACTAGGCCCTCATGCAAGCACACGCCCTAGATCACAGCCCCTGAGTGACAAGCAAATGGAAGTTCCCAACACGACTTCCCCCACAGCTGCTGGATCAGCAGCCTCCCCCACCTCCCAGCCCTTGCCCTAGCGCGACCCTTGGGTAAGACCCCCGTGGAGCGCACCAAACCCCTGCTGCTTTCGGTTTGAATTGACCAATCCAGCATTAGCCCGGGAATCCCAAAGCACTCCACCCACGGAGGACATAAGGGCATGTGCCCCACGTCCTGCCTCTTCTTCCGCCTGTTTGGCTCCTTAAGCCTCCCCGTGCGGCCCCTTGCGTCATGCCACGTACTTCCTCCAGGACCTGTGTGTAATAAACTTCTCTATTGCAGCTTCTCTTGTGGTTTTCTGGCCACCATCTGGCACCCTGTGCTCCACTTAACAAATGTTAATTTAACAAGGTCCTAACAGGCAGTGACCCGTCGGGTGATCTCACTCTGTCCCGAGTCCACTATGGCACCACAGGAAAAATCGTCAGCTACTAAGGGTTTTCTGATAATGATAAAAGAGGGTAAAGGAAACAAGGAAAAAGAGTGAACTGTTAAGAAAAGGCAACTGTTTCAAGATAATCTTGAATCTTGGTTTAAAATAACATGTCTAAGGAAAGAAGTATTTACCTTCTGCTGTGGAAATGTGGACTCCATCATGGCTGTTTCAAAGCTGTGGGCACCCTCTGCTTGCGTCTTCTCCCACAAAGCCCTGAGAAGTTGCACAGATCGACTCTGTATGGACAGGGGCTCAGGAAACAGGCTCTGAAACGGCATCAATGAGAGAAACAGGACACATTCTCTCTCGTCCTGACAACACTGTCAGATTGACTACAAGGCACTATTTAGGCTGGGTTTGATCTTTAACGTGGTTTCATTTAAATGAAACAACAAAGAAATCTATCTTGAAGATCAAACATATGATACACTCCAGGCTTCTCATTTTTTAACAGAAAATTAAAATTATTCAATAGAATTTTCAAGGCAGTTGATATTGATCTCTATAAATATGCCTAACCTTTGTAACATAGTATTTACCTTGACCATTTCCCAAGCATGAGCTTAATGGGAGGATGGTTAATATAAATATTCATTTTTAATTTTTCAAAGATCTAAGAATTAGGTATAAAATTAAAACTAGAGTACAAATATCAAGTCTCTTTATACAGACTAGATCATGAAGAATAGAAATTAAATAACTAAGAGTTCATTATGCAACTACTCAAATACAAACGGTGTGAGGGGGTGTTTGGGGGAAACAAACACTTTTACTTCTGAAATGTATAATGGGTGAACATTCTTAGACCTTTAAGATGCTCTGAGTTTTGGACAATAAGATTATTAATGTAAAGAAAATCACATTTACATATATTTTACTCAAGCCACTGAAAATAAAATTTTCAAAGGAAGATTTAAACTATTTGTATGTTTATTAATGAATTATGTGTTTAATAGTTGTTTACATATTGTGATGTTATACCTATAAATGTGAGAAGTGTTTCAATTCAGGGGATCAATTTTATAAAAACATGTAGAACCTCAATAAAGGGCATAAAATATTATTTATATACATATAATGCCATATATATTATCCTTTATGTGTGAGGTCTGATAAAATAATCATATTGGCTTATAAAATCCTATTTTCTGCGTCAATGACTGTCTAAGCATAGACTTAGAAGAATCTCCAGGTAGTCTGTGTGTACAAATTTTCTAGTTAGTAAATAAAGATTAATACATTTTTTCCAGAAAAATCTATTATCATCAAGATGAACTGTTTCTTGTACTGAGTGGGAAAAGTTGGAGGATCTTACACTCCGAGTAAGTGGCCCACAGATTAGAAAAGGTTAAGAGCTGGTAACAGATTATGCAGCCCATAATGTGGACACATCTGGGGACTTCTTGATTATTATTGGAAACTTATATAGCACATAATTTTTCACTTAAAGAAGAGCAAGTTCTGATATAATTAAACATCACGCCAAAGAGGACCATTTAGATGAATCTGTGAATCTGAGAACTCTAGGAATGTGTTAAATTGACAGATCAGAGAAAGAGTCTGCCCCAGCACGTAACACATATTGTGTGACCTGGGTTTATAACCAGCAAGTCACAGATTTGATTCTCATTTACCCCAAAGTCAGGATTCACCCAGGTCATACCATATCAAGGGTGTGGGGAGAAAAAGGAAACATTATAATAAAATGAACAAAGAAGAAAAGCAACATATACAGATACTTTTTGGTGATTTTGCTTAAAGAGAAAGACAAGGAATCAGGCTAAGTAAAAAATATAAGACTGAAGGGACACAAATAAAATCAAGCTTTCTTGGTTTGTTTTCAGAAAACTGACAACTGTTAAGAACAGAGCCAAAGATGAAACCAAATACAAAATCACTGATGAAAACTGTTTGAAAAGTAATAAAGTAGAAGAAAAATAAGGTCATTATTTCAACAAAAGGAGGAAAAATCAATGTTGTTTTTATCTTCACATACAATTTGATTCACATGTGAGATGTTATTAGGTGTTCTTAAGAAGACAATACAGGAAAAGATGGTACTCTTAAGGCATGTCTAAGCTGTTTCTTCTTAATTACTATAGTTCCACTTTGCGATTGTGATATATTCAGGATTAAAATTCATTTTCTTAATAAGCCTGGCTTTACTTTTAGTTTTTAAATTTTTTTTGAGGAAGATTAGCCCTGAGCTAACATCTGCAGCCAATCCCCCTCTTTTTGCTGAGGAAGACTGGCCCTGTGCTAACATCCGTGCCCATCTTCCTCTACTGTATACGCGGGACTCCTGCCACAGCATGGCCTGAGAAGTGGTGCGTAGGTCCACACCGGGGATCCGAACCAGCGAAGCCGGGGCTGCCGAAGAGGAATGTGTGAACTTAAACACTGCGCCACGGGGCCGGCCCCTTGCCTTTTCTTTTTAAAGAACTATAACTATCTGGTTGGTAACTTTTGTATGGGCTTACAGAAACATTTTATTAATTGAAATAAATACTATATTATCACGTGGCCTAATTTTTAAACTTCTTTTAACATTTGCATTCTGTTTTTTTCTGCCTCTGCCCTCTCTGCCTGCATCGCCCCAGTTTACGTTTAACACGTGCAACAAAGAACAAGCCACTGGCTCAGGAGGCTGGTGGTCTGAGTTCTGCCCTTCAATTTCCTTATCTGTAAAAGATGTCTAAGATCCTTTCTATTACTAACATTTTACAATCTATATTTGAATTTTAAGTGAAAATTTAATGTTTCAAGATAAGTATTTCCAAATAAGAATCTGTTTGATGCTAAAATCTTTGCATCAAGTTCTTCATTGTAAAGTTGAAAGTTCCTCTTTATGTAGTTTTACCTATATACCTTTATTCCATGGGGGGAAAGTGGCATTCCAGGATCTTAGCAATGGCAAAATAATGTGTCGACACTAAAATTAATTGGAGATTGGAAGACTGTGGAGAAATAGACACCTCTCCACAAGGAGGGCTATTGCCCCAAATAAGCTGTTTTTGTTGTTGTTTAACAAAAAGTATTTCCCTTTCATTCTTCTTTTTTAAAGCTAAGGATCTTTAAGATATTAATAGGTTTAGTCTCTTGATTACTAATCCAGGGCCTTTTATAAGAAAACTATCCTGAAATATAGAAAATCTATGTTAAACAATTATGAATGGAATGTGTATGTATTGCTGTTATCAACTCAGGTCGAAGAATCATTCCGTAAAAATGACTATGAACGCACACCCACCACCTCATTCAGGAGGCGTTATGAACACGAATCGTACGCACCTGCTGGAACAGGAACATGATCTGGATCCAGGGCTGAGGCTCTTGGCTGATGAGGATGAAACTGGATTTGCTGTATAGACAGTAATGACCCTTCAGGGAGCAGGTGAAGAACAATTTTGCTACACAGCTTCTAACAGAATCTAGAAACAAATACACGTAGCATTAACTATTAGATTCTTACCAGAGTTAGGCTTTATACTTCAACACACCACCACCTTTAAAAATACATTCTTCAGGGCCGGCCCTGTGGCATAGTGGTTGGGTTCGGTACACTCTGCTTTGGCAGCCCAGGTTCACAGGTTCAGATCCTGGGCGTGGACCTACATTGCTTCTCAGCCATGCTATGACCGTTATCCACATACAAAATAGAGAAAGCTTGGCACAGATGTTAGCTCAGGCCTAATCTTCCTCAACCAAAAGAAAAAAGAAGAGGAAGTTTGGCAACAGATGTTAGATCAGGGTGAATCTTTGTCAGGAAAAAAAAATACATTTTTCAGTCTGTGAACTAACAACTCCAAACTACTGTGTATTTGAGTAGATCCATTCCATGGAAGGTAGATTTAAATGAAGATGCTTTAAACAAGTAGTATTCTATTTATCTTTCTCTTGTCTTAATTAACAATGCATGAAGAATCTCCAAGCAACTCATGCGGAAGAAAAAAACCTCTTGCCAGTAAAAAGGGTGACACCACGTCGTAGCCATCTGATTGATGATTGACATGATACCTGGGACCTTGACATGGTAACCTGGGAAGAATAAGCGCATGGACGGGGGAAACCCAGGCATTTTCTGGGCAGTGGATGGTACCCCATGAACCAGGAGCATTCTTCTCTTGGTTGTGTGGGGGCCACAGAGACAGGCTCCAAAACTCCGGCCAGAGTGTGGCTTCCTGTGAACTGGCCTGCTCTGGTTTGAAAATGTCATTTCACCTTGAAGAGCTCAAGCAGGGAGACTTAATGAGAGCATTCTTTAGGGACAAGAAAGTGGGGCAGGGTGGTGGCAGTGTAGAGCAGAGGTGGGGAGAAGCCGAACGTGGGAGGAGCCATCTAAGTTTTACAGCCCTACAAGATGGGTATTGTTGTTCCCATTTAAAAGATGAGGGAACTTAGCCCATTAGAGGCTCAGCTTGGTGAACCACTGTGACTGCAGTGTTCCCCACTATGACCTTGGAGGCGGCACACAGAAGATGCTTTACCGTGTCTGGACAGATGGCTGATGCTCAGGGCTCCTGCAAGAATTGCTCAAAGCTGCCCAATCTGTATCAGAGCCGGGATTTGGACTCAGCCAAGCTGATGCCACATCGGGATGCTTTGGGCTCTACCGTACCGGAGATTTTAAAATCTGTAGTCATACTAATAGCTAATAGGGTATTTTTTGTTTCAGAATTAATCTGACATTTTAAATGAAATATTTTGAAAATTAATAGATTCAATATGCCCTACTCTTAAAAATGGAAATGGATTAGAGTTTATTAAAAGTTAATGGGGATCCTAATAAGTGGGCATCAATCCCCGCCTAAGAGAGTGCACAGGCTTCTCTAGAAAATGGGGGAGTCGGGGCTCAGGTTTTTGGGAAGAGTCTGGAAGGGTTAAGGGAGAGTGGCCAATGACAGATTAGAGGTGAAGATGTTGGGAGCAAGACAATAAAGTTGCAGAGCGATTTAGAAATATATACAGAAATCTTAATAATAGCTTTCCACGATTCTGAAACACTGGTATGAAAAAGGGCTAGTTTTCATAAACTCAATTGTTTTGGGGAATGAAAAAAATGGGGGGCTGAGCATTCGATATCCATGTATAAAATCAGACATCATTTCCTCTTTCTGTGGGAGAATGGATCACGAGATGTAAAGAGTGCTTGAAGATTCTGTGGCAGAGACAGGAGGCCCGGCGCCGAGAAAGCAAGAGCTCAGAGAATAGACGGGAGCACAATAGGGGCTTGAAATCAGAAATTGTTTGACAATGGTAATTAAAATATTTTGTTTTTGGCACTGGTGCTCTGAAAATTGAACTTAAATTAATTATTGCTGGAGAAATAGGAAACCAAGTATTCCAGGAGAGCACACACACACAAACGGTGTTTGAAATAAATCTAGCTGTAAGGCAGACATTGAGATAGCAATGTGTTTGCTTTAATAGGAAGTTTCAAAAGCAAACAAGTTTTTTTCAAGAACCCACGCAATAGCTTGATGGTCATGTGTTGGACTTCAGGCCTCTGCCATAAAAACGGTTTTTGTCTTTTTCCTTCCTCTAAATTCTTACTGCTCACTCATGTTTTCTTTTGAAAATGGACATTGATTAGATTTATTTTACTCACTCTGAGTCCACTAGCTTTCTGTATACAAACCACAGGGATCCCAGATCACAGAAGATGGGCAAAGTGGTACAAGAGAGAGACTTTGAACTTAGAAGCATACACACTGGCTGTAAAAATAAATGAGTTCTGTGATGTAAGGCTTACTATTAATGCTTTCGGTAAACGTGATCTGTATCGATATTTTTCTCCTCATTTTTTTTCAGAGCTTTCCTGGTGTGGAAAGTTTTCCCCACAACATTAACATTTTGTTGTTAATTTTTCTCTGTAATTTTCTCCCTTCTGTTCATTCTATGGTATGGAACGGTAGGCATGCAATAAACAGTTGTTGGATGAATGAAACTAAGAATTTGTATATTGGTTGTATATTGATTTGTATACTGGTTGTTGAATGAATGAAATAAGACACTGCAGGGAGCAAGAGGGGCCGCAGTGTTGACACTGCTCTTCAGAAGCTTCCAGCCAAATGGGAGAAGCATCTATGAGCAATGGAGTGAATTGTTCTCAGTCCGTGAGATAAGGGAGGGATACACTGCTGTGACCGCTCAGAGAAATGAGCAGCTTGTTCTCACGGGGGAGGTGATATGCGAGGTGGACCTTGGAAGATGATCAAGATTTTGAACTTAGAAAAAGTTTAAGGGGGACAACCCCGGCTGCCCCAGCGGAGTACGTGGAACTTGAAGTTGAGGCCATCAGGGCTGGCCTGAGGTTTATTCTTCACGTCTCCTCCGGTGCCTCTTGGCTGGGACAATTTCTCAGACTTCCCTTGTTTTTGATGACCTTGACAGTTTTGAGGGGTACTTTTGTTAGGTGTTTTGTAGACTGTCTCTCAGTTGGCATTTGTCTGTTCTCCTCATGATTAGATTTTGAGTTTTGGGGAGGAAGACCACGCAGGTAAATTGCAGTTTTCATCGTGTCATATCAGGAGTAAATTTGATCAACCTGACTCAGGACTGTTGATGTTGACCTTGATCACCTGGCTGAGGTGGTGGTTACCAGGTTTCCCCACTGCAGTTACTCTTTTTTTCCACTTTCCACACGGTACTCTTTGAAAGGAAGTCACTCTGTGCAGCCAACACGTAAGAAGTGGGCGGTTGGTTCCACTCCTCGAGGGCTGAATAGCTACATAAACTGAGTGGAGTTCCTCTGCACAGATTGGTCTCTTCCTCCTCCAGTTATTTCGTTCAAATTATTTACTCAATTATTCTATCAGTATTTACTCATGGATATTTATTTCATACTTCGATACTCTTTAGTCTGTTGTCTTTCTCTGATTGTTCCAGCTTTGGCCATTGGGAGCTCTTTCCGCTGGCTCTTGTCCATTTGATGTTCCCCCATCATTGTCTATGTGGGTTCTTTTTCTTTGAGCACTTCCTTATTTTCTGGCACTAAAAGATGCTCTAGGCTCATTTTTGTATGTTTCCTACCCCTGTCTTAGAATCAGCTGTTTCTCCAAGGAGTTCTGGTTCCTTTTATTGGAGAATGTTATTAGAAACCAAGCTCTGGGTGCTGGGTGTGCTTGTTGCTACTAGGGTGTCATTGTTCCTTGGCCTTCTCAGCTGACAGAGCAAGGAAGGAAATTCTGTGTGTATGCTAACCTGTGTACGTACACATATCTATAGATTTTTTATATGTAACCATCTGTATGTGTATTAAGCTAAACATGAGTTCATACTGACTTCAATTTAATCCATTTCCCCATGGATCGTCCTAGCCTCCTCCGCTTGCTTATCTCTAAGCTTCCACATCAACAGGGAGAAGCCTAGCTCCACTCTTAGTATTTTTATCTCTGTGCGCTATAGAAGGTAGACTTCTCTCCTGACCCCCACCCCTGCACCTTCCCCTCCCTCCTCCCTCCTCTCTTTCTCTCTCAAAAATTTTTGTGTATTTGGCACCTACCATAATGCTTGGCATAGAGAGTTTCCTTCTAAACATAATAATGATATTTTATTATACTTTCTGGTTTTTTTCTGGAGCAAGAAAGATAAAACTAGTAGGATAGTCCCATGGAAATAACAAGAAATTATAATAATACGATATGAATTTTCATGTTGAAATTTTATCTCACTTTTAACTAAACACTCCACACTGTATATCTAGCATGAGAGATATACCTATTTGTTAATAAGAACATTCTTCCTTAGTTTACCCACTTGTATTTTAGCTGTATTCCAACTGGAGTAATCTTGGTAATGTTAGGATCCTGGTAAAGAAATACTTCTTTATTTGTTTCATGGTTGAAAATGCTAAAAAAAACTTGTTAGACACCTAGAAAGTTCATGCCACAACTAGAAGGACCCACAACTAAACGTATACAACTATCTACTGGGGGGGATTTGGGGAGAAAAAGCAAAAAAAAAAGAAAAAGAGATTGGCGAGTTGTTAGCTCAGGTGTCAATCTTTAAAAAAAACAGTCATCCTAAATTCTTAAAAAAGAATCTAGAAGGTATACTAATTACCGTTTTGGGAAACATTTTAAATTAGAAATAGTCCTAAATGACATCATGATGTTTCAGAAGGGAGTTATAGTTTTATAATAATATTTTAAACGTCTAGTGGTGGAAATTCTAAATCAAGCAAAACCATAATCAAAAATAAAAATCAGATCTAGTTTATGTGTGTGTGTATGTGTGAATTACTTAAAATATTAGAGAAAGTTAATGTGTGGAATAACTAATGTTAGCATTTACTTTTGTACCAATTACTCTGTTAGATGTTTTCTTTAATTATCATTTAATTTTCGTAATTATCTATTACTATCTATTTTTTTCACTTAGGAAGTCAAAGGGTCAGAGAGTTCCGTGACTTGATCAGGTAAGATGCGGA